TCTACATAGCAGACCCCACAAAAATATTCACGCTACTGCTGATAAGGAGTGGAAACTGCCAATAGAAACGAATAGAATTGATGAATGAAAAGATAAGACAGTTTAGGAAAGTGTGAGATCATGGTTTGATTTGCTGTGCTGGAAAAACTAATCATCGGACTCGACATGATAGGGAATATTGTACAACGTGTAATCCTTGAACAAAAATGTAATTAATATTTTTTTGTGTGAGATCATGCTTTGATATGCTGTGTTGGAAAAACTAATTATCGGACAAGATTGTACCTGTAATCCTTGAAAAAAAAATGTTATACATTTTTTTTTGGTTTTTCTTAGTTAAAATTGGACATATGTATTATAAGCTTATCAAAGTATGACATGCTTTTTAATGAATGGTCCGATGGTTTTGCGTTATGGGCATTTGTGAGCGTTAGAGTGGGCTCAGCGTTCATAGGGACGGACATGGCTAGTTCAATTCGGCTAGTGATCCTGATCAAGGATATATATACTTTATAGGGTCGGAAACGCTTACTTCTACCTGTTACATACATACTTTCCGACGAATATAGTGATCCCTTTTACTCTACGAGAAACTGCTCCAAAAAGTATTAAGTACGTAGTATATTTTCCTCATTGGTATATATTATATATGACATATATTGTATATTATTATTATATATTATTCAATAGCTGATTCTCCCTAAAAGTTGTTCCAAAGTAAAAAAAGCTCTATCGCAAATGCCAACTTTTTGTGTGATCCCTTGGCACATCTGGCCACCAAAAACGCGTTTGGCTTACCGCAAACCCCCCTCAATTAAATCTAACGAATGCCAGTTCTAATTGGTGACACTAAAGATAACGAATAGAGATGGCAAGTTCGTCGAATTTATGCAAATTTCCCTGGGGGCAGAATGAAACCGCGAAGCGCAGAGAAGAATAGAGAAGAGAATTCGCAGCAAACAAATATGTTTTTTTAGCAAACTGCTCTGACGTAACAAAGAAACCGGGAAAGACAAACAATGAAAATCAGAACCAAAAAATAACAACAAATATAGCCGGCGAACTTGTTTTTGTTTTTTTAGTTCTTTCGATATCGTTTTGTCTGTTTTTTAGTCGCCGGTCTTTAGGTTCGCTTAGGCAGCCTAATCCCCTGCAATCCCCTACATCTGCCGATAAATATTGGGTGTACGTGATCTGAATGTCGCTATGCTCGCATTTCGATGTTTTGCCAATCTTTTTTCGTTAAAACCAAATGGGGGAACCTAAACCTAAACTGGAAGACCTAAAAACTTGATTTCGCAGATGTAGGGCATTTGAGGAGGGGCTCTGTGCGATAACAGCTGCAGTAGAATGCCTCAAGGTCAGCTCAAAAACACGTTTAGTGCTTTCTTCCCTGTAGATTTTATTCTTTCGATTGCGTTTGCGATAACTGCCACCCATTAATATTAATAGTTTTCACTTTTGATGTTGTCGAATTTAAGTTTTGGACTTACCCCGGTGTAGAGGACTTCGGGCGTGGTCTGGGGCTGTGGGAGGGCGGAATAGTTCGCAACAGCAGCTGCGAAATTCTTGGTCTGGGCCCGCAGCAGGGCGCCGGTCTTCAAAACGCGCAGCATTCTGATCAGATCTTACTTTTCCGGGTAAAAATGGGGGAGAGAGTATCGAGTATCGCTGAACTAGAACTGCGTGTTAATTGCTCAGCGGTCGACGGGCAACTGAAACGCTGTCGTCGCGTTGCCGCTCGCGAAAACTACGGAGGAACTTTTCAAGAGTCTCGGGGGAACTCACGCCACGCCACAAGTGCTGGCAGATGTGGGGCGTAAGCACCGGTCTAGCCAAAAGTAGCCGAAGATTACTCGTTGCTATCGGCCTCAAGATAAACAAATGGATTCAGGTACCCAAAGTAATCATTATTTCTGATTTTTATCTTTAACGGCCTACTACGAATTTATTGTATTTCCTGTTCCAATTATAGGTAGTAAAAAGTGTCGTATGACGTATTACGTATGACGTTTTATAATAGCAGTCTTCAAAAAAATCTCCAAATTGAATTATTTCGGTCTCTTGAAAAAATAAATAATTTTTGTACTTGCACAATTTTTAATTTGTAAATGTAAATTTATAAACCATACTTTAAACCACACAAACCAAATTGGTATGCTAATATCTGCTCAGATATGGCCCATATCATATGGCATAGGACACTTGGCTAACATTCGATTGACTTGAATTTGTTATAAAATGTCAACATAGACCTAGTCAATAGTCTCAAATGTAGACTCTAATTTAGGCAAATTATATTATATTATATTATATTATGTTAACTTTAAATTGAATATTTTTAATAAATAATTAATATATGATTTCGTGCTCCGTAATTATGCTTTTAAAAAGCTAATTTGCCAACACCGAAATCCGTTGATAATGTCCGAGCGAGACGGAACTACCGATAGCTACTGATTCATCTCTTGATTCAGGAGAGTCAGAATGAGAAAGAAAACAAAAACAAGGAGTATAAAAACAAAAACTAAAAATACTTACATAAATGAAATTGCATTTGCGTGAAGCTTGTTTTGTATGCGAAAGAGGGATTATTATAATATTGTTTATCAAACTACCACGCTTCGAAGTAAGCTATGGAGCTATAGATATGGGTAGATTAACTTGGCAAGCCACCGCGGTATAAATTATCATACGATTTTGCTTTAAAGAACAAACATTCTGGAATTTTATAATTTTCGGTCATAATGACTTGCTGTTTCTTAATACATAGGTGTGTATAGAATCTGCTTAGAATTTCATGACTAGAAGAAATTAATTTAAAGCACAGTGAAATACGACTACATCTAAAAGCTTATCAGCCTTCATCCACGCAAACCAATCAATCAATATATTTATGTACATTGTACACACAAGAATATATTTAATAGATGTAATAAGATTATTAAGCTTGTTTACGGTAGGATTTTTATAAAAACAAAACGAAAACCATTTACGATTTATTAAATCTTAATTACTTGTATAATTATGTTTCTTTAAGTAATACAATGTAAATTAAATTCTTCAATTTTTAATTATTTTTTGAGAATGAAACAATTTTAAGAATTTTTAATTCAGTGACTGTTGAGAAAAACTTAACATAAAGAGCTACATTTATTTCTGCAACAGAACCTTTCAGTTTGGTAAAGTATTGAGTAGGCATTTAATTCCAAATACAAATTGAGTGAAATTATAAAACATTAGTGAAGTGCCCGATTTCAGCATGTGCGTTTTTATTGCTCATTACTTTGATGTTTATTTTGCTGTTCCACTTCATCGTTTAGCTGACTCTTCAAACATTTATCATCCCTTCTCTTACCACTCGTATTATACAAATTGTTTTAGCATACTTTTCGGCTGTCAGCCGGATTACGAACACAAAATTGATGGGCGAAAAAAAGAAGAGATTTATTCCAACATAATTCCTTAAATGCGATTTAGGCCAATTTGTCAAAATCTTTGGAAATTTATTCCAGTCGTAAATTGAAAGCTCAGCACAGCTGTCAAGTGAATCACGTATACGCATCGTTGGTCGAAATCAGGACGAAAAAACTAATTCAATTGCATGCAATTGAAACGGAGGCTGGGTAAACATTTGTTCGACTCCGGGTCCACTACCATTTCCGTCCATTTCATGGGTCCTCATCCTCCGGCGGGGCCAATTACCATCGCCGAACCGCCCGAATAAACTTTAATGGCGATTGTTATGCGGCGGACCCTGTTATTGATGATTCGGCTGTCGGCTGTCGATGCGGTTGCTGTCCTCAGCTGCATGAAATATTTAATATCCGAGAGCAAACAGTTTGGCGTAAAAAATAAATTGCATATGGACAGCTCAGCTCAGCTCCTCCATTTGTTCCCCCCCTGCACTCCATTTTGGTCGCCAGGACACGCACTTAAATGCCATTGATTGCTGGGCCCGGGAATGTGCGGGTTATAAATGCGAAAATGAAATTTACAACAATTTGCTGGAAATTACTTTCAATTGAATTTAATTACGCCTGGTGGGAGTTGTTGTCGCTCCACGTGCTCGTATAATTTTATGGATGATTAAGTAAATTAAGTTTGGTTTGCGTGTGGTGGTATGATACTCATGTGTAGAGCAGTTCAGGTGAAGACAAGGTGGGAATATGATTAACACAAGTAATATTTGTGTTCCCTGGGAGCTGATATTGAATATCCCAATGGGTGAAGAATCAAGAACTGCTTGTAATTACTTACGAACAATAATTGCTGCTTTGATTTTGTGTGATGACAAAGAAATATAATATATATTTATAGTTAAGGAAAGTTATAATGATGGTTTGCTAATAGCATAAGAAGAAAGCCATTGAAATTCTATATTTAGAAGAAACCCTATACTTTCCCCCACACTAAATTATTAGCATATTCAAATCATTTGAATGTCAGAGAATTCACTAAATTGTCTTTTGTTTAGTCAGCAAATATCAACAACTGTCAAACAGGATAAATGGGAAATCCATCAATTTTGTGCGGCATTGATCTCTGTCAAAGGTCAAATCACACAAAAGAAATTCTATACCAAAATCTACGTGACCCACTTTGGACTTTGGCCAAAACCATAACCAAAAACCCTAATGCTTTATGCTTTTGGCACACAATAAAAAAAAGGGGGAAAGGAGTGAAAATGGAAAAAACGCGTAGAGCTGTGGGAAAAAATACAGCGAAATATATGCAAATGGCTTATGGTCTTGTTTTGCTTACACTTGCTTGACCCGCCCTGCTATTTTTCTCCACCTTTTTTTATTGCTCACTTTTTCAGGGACTCGGGTTTCATGGCTCGATATAATGGTATTTGGTCGCAAAAGGATCAAGCGTTAGAAGAGTAGTTATGGTAAAGGTAATTTGTTGGGTTATTAACCATTTTGGAAAGTAAAATTCTCTTTGGAACTCATAGTGGCAACACTCAACTAACTAACCCTCAATTATTACCATTGCAGATATGAAACCTACAAGGCCACGCTCAAGAAAATCCCCGCAACACGTCTCTCCCGACTGACCGAAGCCCTGGCCAACTACGATCCGGTACTCAATGAATACTTTTTCGATCGGCATCCCGGGGTCTTCACCCAAATCCTCAACTATTACAGGTGAGTGTCCAAGTCCGTTGATGTGCTAATTAAGTTTCCGAAAGCTGTTTATACGTGTAATGACTGTGAATATTTGCCGAGAGCTTGGGGCATGGTAATTACATCTTAAGAAATGAAAATGGGAGGAAAAAGAGACAATTTTCTTGGAAAATTCCACTGGAGATGTTTTTGCTACTTTTGCAATTTCAATTTATGCTCTTACCCGTAATGATTGCCCTGATTAATGGCGCCCAGGAAAACATATCAAGAGTCAGTTTTCGTTATAGATTGCTTGATGTATAAACAAACTAATATTTTAATTGCTGCCCCAGGAGCAGAACGAACTTGGCTCGGCCATTAATCTAAAGTTTTTGAGCTGCAAAAGTTTATCCAGCGTTTTTCGGGGTCATTAGCGGGCTCATTTATCTTTGCCGTGAGCTGAGCTGCGCTGAAATGAGGTGTTGTCTGCCCCGTTGCGATGACTTAACTTGTTTAAAATTAATGAAAGTTTGTTTAGCTCATCACCCGTTTACTGTACCCACCTGCAACTGCAGATGGAGTTGTTTTCGGATGAGGCAAGGCTGCCGGCATTTCACGCTCCTTCATCTTCATCGATTGGGCAGGAGCGTCCGTTATATTTACCGGATTTTCCCGAACACCCACCCATGGCTCCAGGGACTTTGGCCAAACAGTTTTCCAACTCAATTAACCAGGCACCGATGGCCAGGAAAATGGTGTCAAAGAAGGGCAACAGCGGAAAAAATACTGCAACATCCCGCGTTGATTGGAAATGAAACGGAGACCCCTTGGGGGGTGTGGTTGAAACTAGGGGTCTGTCGGAAACCCTCCCTCCTCAGGGAATATTCATATAATCAAATTATGCACGCACCAAATGCCCCAGACAATTTGTGTGAAGAGATTTCATATAGATAAGCTGTAGGGGCAGCAAAAGTGCAGCAAAATAACAAAGGAAATGCGCGTTGGAATGGTTATTTATTGATTATTCACAGATTGGAATTTATGCTATTTCTATGGGAGATGCAATGTTTTTCTGAGAGAAAAACCATGTATGGATTTACATATTTTAGTACATTTTACAGATGTTTTTCCAAAGAAAGTTATTTAATTAAACTTTGATTGTGGCAAATACCTTTTAATTTGTAACGGAATGTAACTTTAATTCTTTTGCAAGTTCCCCAAGAAAATTTCTCATAAATATTTCATGATTATTTTATGAGTTAAATTCATTAACGAAGACCGTTAAACCATAAACCCCTTGTATCACATCTCCATATTAAATGTAAATATCTGAGGCCAAGTGTGTCAGAGCCAATCGATATAATTATTTATGCACATTTAAACGCAGAGACTCTTTATGCGCCTCATCGGCTCACGTGCTTGTTGAGGTCAGCTATAAATATTGATTGCATCGGTTGCACGCTGCGTATGCGTTATATTTGTTATGCACACTTTATGAAGGAAAAAGGCGAAGAAATGCAGGGGTAGAGGATTAAGAGAGAATGAAAGTGATTTCACCAAAATGTAATTTGGCGGACTCGGAAAATATTTAAATGTTGGGACAGGGGCACAAAAAGTTGTCGGAATTGCGGGTTTTATGGAGAAAACCAATTAACGATCCACGTGAATGTGTGTCGAGAGCAATATCGAAAAGCCATGACAATGACTGCAGCGCGCTTAAAAAGATTAAAAATGGGGTGGACGTGACATAAAGTATATGATTGCAAAAGACGGATACCCTAGATTTGGATAACAAAAAGTCCTTGGAAAAAAAAAAATTATTATTTTAAGAACTTGAAACGGTCTTCTATTTCCATTAATATTTAATATTTAAACTTAAACTTTTAAGAAATTTAAGACGGATATGTCGAAATGTCGAAGTCTGTTGTGAAGGCTATAGTCAGTAGCGTGAAGCTGAATCCGGATCGGGAAATGAGAGCGTCACTTTGCAAGTCCACAAAAATATGATGAAGCACTGGGAAATCTACCTTTATTTTATTTAATTTCATAATATTTTTTCAAGGAATTCATGCCATGAAATGATTTTTAAGCAGCACAAAAGTACGGTCAGCGCTATAGAGCGAAAAAGTTGCACCAAATATGTTGGAAACCGGCACAAAAAGGACATTCAGGATGTGCACACGTGTGAGTGGGGTAGGGTGTGGTGGTGGGTGGCGAGGGTGGTGGTGGGTGGTAAGGGTGGTAAGTGAAGATATCATCCAAAAATAAAACCATGCAAGGACTCACCCCTCCACTCGGCGACTGTCCGGCAGCTGATATGGCATTACAAGTTGGCCAACAACTGTGGACAAGGACGAGCCCCCCCTCCCCAATCCTTCATCCTTTTTTTGGAACTCCCCCGCAGCCATTTACTGCAATTTGAGCTCACACACATATAGAGCAGTGAAAGCATCACAAATTGTTGTTGGCCAAGAGAATGGAACAATGGCCAAGGCAGCATTATGAATATGCCAAGTGTTGGAGAAGGGGGTCAAGAGGTGGGTGTAGAATGACCATGTCTGTTTTTTTTTTCGTTTTTTACCTGGTGCATGCAATGCATATATCCACATCCACACATTTGCCCACCATGCATATGCAAGTGATACCATCCCATCCTGCCAGACTTTCAGTTGCGCAATTTGCAGCCACAATTTCAGACGTGCCGTTTTGGCCATAATATTATTCGGTCTGATGTCTAAGCCCTCTGCATGCTTGGCCAAGTCCATGAATTTGTTTTGACCGGTTGAAAGGGTCGAAAAGGAGACTCGTTGATAGAGAGTGAGAGAGGGCATTTAGTCAAACCTTACTTATGCCATAATTGCTGTGTCTTAATGGGATGCTATGCATCTCCAGCTTGAATAATTAGGGAACAAAGACTTGCGGATTTTGGCTGAGCAGGGTGGTATTCAAATTTGTGAAGAAGTTTCTTAGAGTGGGGCTAAGCAACTTATTCCACTTTGGTGGATAAAAGATAAGCCCAAGGTGAAGCACCAGGTAATTTAGGAGTTTATTTATATTTTCAGAACTGGAAAACTGCACTATCCAACCGACGTGTGTGGACCGCTCTTCGAGGAGGAGCTGGAATTCTGGGGACTGGACTCTAACCAGGTAGAACCTTGCTGTTGGTCAACCTATAGCATACATCGCGATACGCAAGTAAGTTATGCTTCCTTTTAATCACATTACTTTTACATTAAATGTGGATCTTCCCATAGAACACCTTAGCCATATTAGATAAGCTAGATATTGAAAATGAGAAGCCCACGGAGGAGCAGATAGCTCGTCTATTTGGCTTTGAGGAGGCACTGAGCAACGGCGAGCTTAACTGCTGGCAACGTATAAAACCCAAGATCTGGGCCATGTTTGATGAGCCCTCCAGCTCTACGGGTGCCAAGGTGGGTTGTCATCTTTAAAAGATGGATTCTTAAGTATATATATTTATTATTACATATCTTACCTTCCTGTAATACTAGCACATATATTTATTTTAATCTGTTTACCTGTCAAATTAATATTATTTTGTTAAGATAATATAGTTTTTTTTTAATTTTTTGTATGGCTTTACGTTTTTTATTTTGATGTGAAAACCTTAAAAAGTAAACCTTTTTATATTTATTTAATGCTTACTTATGCAATATATATTTCTTCTGCAGATCGTTGCTGGCATGTCGGTTTTCTTTATATTTGTTTCTGTGATATCATTCTGCCTGAAGACCCACCCCGGCTTCCGCGTGGACCTGCCCTCTTCCCCCGACGATGGAACAGGGGCGGGCGGACCTCCACACGGACACGATCCCTTGGGCGAACCGCCGCAGACCCATCAGTACCATCAGCACAGCATCACGCCGCCCAGCGGCAGCATCGGACCCACCTTTCGTGTCACGAACTACACGAGCTACAGCAGCGGCAACTTTACCGCTCCCGGCCAGGCCACGCCCATTGCCACCATCAAGGGCGGCCAGCGGCAGCGACTGAAACGGAATATCAACGGGAGCAGTCTGAACGAGTTCATCGAGCAGAAGATACTGGGACAAAACGGGAGGAGAAAGCACGGATGGATCGAGACCTACGGCCAGCCCCACGAGGCCTTCTTCTACGTGGAGCTGGTGTGCAACGTCTGGTTCTTCATCGAAGTCCTCATCAGGCTGATAGTGAGTACTCAAAAAATAAGCAAAGCATTTACTTGATTTAATAAAGTTTAGTTTCGATTTTACATCATTTATCATTTCAAGTTGATTCTAGAACTTTTTTTCTGCGCATAGGTCTAAACATCATATTTAAAAACAAGGAAGAACGCTATAGTCAAGTACCTCGACTATCAGATACCCGTTACTCAGCTTAATAGAGATATGCAAGCAGCAAAGCGAGATTAAAATGCGCCACCTACCGGCGGTATACAGATTGAAGCGTTATGGGCGTTAGAGTGGGCGTGGAAAATTTTTTTTTTTAACCAATCGATAGGTATTGACGAGACCAATACATTTCAGTTAAAATTTTTTTATCTAGCATGAAAATTGTGGGCGTCACAGGTTTTCGCGGTTTGTGGGCGTTAAAGTGGGCGTGGCAAACTTTTTTTTTGGGTCAATCGATAGGTATTGATGAGAACAAAACATTTCCGTTAAAATTTTTATTCTAGCATCAAAACTGTAGGAGCCACAATTTTGGGCGGTTTGTGGGCGTTAGAGTGGGCGTGGCACTGTGCTGAAACAAACTTTTGCTGCGTAAGAAGCTCAGGAATCTGCACGCCAAATCTCAATAGCCTAGCTCCCATAGTTTCCGAGATCTCAGCGTTCATCCGGACGGACAGACAGACGGACAGACGGACAGACGGACAGACGGACATGGCTAGATCGACTCGGCTAGTGATCCTGATCAAGAATATATATACTTTATGGGGTCGGAAACGCTTCCTTCTGCCTGTTACATACTTTCCGACGAATCTAGTAAACCCTTTTACTCTACGAGTAACGGGTATAAAAAAGGATCTTTTCATTGGAAACACTAAAACTGGGTCCTACATTTATTTTTTTCCAGGTCTCCCCCAATTTGTGGCAGTTCATCAAGTCGCCGGTTAATATCATTGACTTTACGGCCACTTTGAGCTTCTATACGGACGTGATGCAGCGCATGGGGGAATATACGGGTCTCCTGGAGGCCTTCTCCATCGTGCGGATAATGCGGCTGTTTAAGCTGACACGCCATTCACCGGGCTTAAGGATCCTCATCCATACGTTCAAGGCCTCGGCCAAGGAGCTCACTCTGCTGGTATTCTTCCTTGTCCTGGGCATTGTTTTCTTCGCCAGTCTGGCTTACTATGCGGAGAAGTTGCAGGTGAGAGTTAATCGAAATTGGCATTTCTTTTAAAACCTTTTTTATTTGTTCAAAATTGTTTTGGTAATACATTATAATAATTGGAATATATGAAAGAAAATAGCATGTCAAAGAAGTCAAATAAGTTTCATAAAAGGATTAGAAACGAAGATGAATTGTATAATGTTACCAATTTAAATGACTCATTTCAAACTTATACGTACTTATAAACCTTTAATAATAATCAACATTTCAACAACTTACAAGTCTTTAGGGTTTTTAAATCGCTTTTAATTGTAATTTCACGTGTCCAAAGGAATGCAACATTATATTTCAACTCAAAAGTTCAATGAATTCATTCATTCATCCCTTATTTACTGCATCCTTTTAGACACCTAAGTGGACATTTGAAAATGGTTTTAAGCCCTAGTGATTTGTGTAGCGCCCATGGGAGGTTTATTTTAAATGGGAGTATATGAGACTAAAATGTGTTCCATTTTCCCGGCAGGACAATCCGGACAACCAGTTTAAGAGCATTCCCTTGGGACTGTGGTGGGCGATTGTGACCATGACCACCGTGGGATACGGCGATGTGGCGCCCAAGACCTATCCGGGCATGTTCGTGGGCGCTCTGTGTGCTCTGGCCGGAGTGCTGACCATCGCCCTGCCCGTTCCGGTCATCGTCAGTAACTTCTCCATGTTCTACTCCCACACTCAGGTTGGTTGGCGGTTTGGAGGCTTTGTGTGTCCACGTTGTTTACCCGCTTTGCGTTTCCATTGCCAGGCTCGCTCCAAGCTGCCCAAGAAGCGACGACGTGTCCTGCCCGTGGAGCAGCCGCGTCGCAAGAGGGAGCCAACTGCTCCGCACCGCGGAAGGACGAATGCCATTAAACAGACGGCGCCCACTGGGCCGGGATTGGTGGCCGGGGGCGTGGGTCCAGCGGGAGCAGGGGGGCCGGGTCTCGGTGGCCACGCAGTGGGTCACCCCGCCCATGCCGGGACGCCCATGTTCAAGGATGCATTTGGCGGTGCCAAAATCGGTGAGTCTTGCAGCAGTCCTTTTGTGTACCTTGTACTCGAAAAAAACCTATCTGCCAGAATGAAAAACTTATACACAAAAATCATTTTAAATGAAAAAAAAAAATATTTTTCAAAAAACAGACTTAGAAATTCTACGTTAACTACCTATTTTTTAATTTTTAAATTTTGTTTTTAGTTTTGTAATTTTGCTTTTTTAAAAAATATTTTGTTTGAAAAAAATTTTTATTTTGAGTAGTACTTTCTTTCCAAATTTTAATATTGTTAGGTGTACAAAATAAAATTGTAGTGTTATAGAAGCAAATAATAAGAATCACATCAATCTAAAATAAGAAAGCATTTATCTATAGTTATAAAAAATGTCTTCACCTATCATATGCGTATACGCAATATTTTAAATAATATTAAAGTCAAAAATTCGAGTACAGGGTACCAAAAAAGTCGTGATTTTCGGCTTTACTTCTCTTGTCTTTCTCCTTCTGTAACTTTGAAGTTGTATTGAATTTAATTTTCTTTTTTGTTGCTTTTTCGGCCTGCAGATATTTAGAGCAGACTCAGTGCTACAGACTAACACACTGACACATGCAGCATACATCACACAGATACTCACACACACACACACACACACACTGAGATACTCGCTCTTGCTTTTTCCTCGCTGTTGGGGCCTGAATTAATTTCATTCAATTTCTTGTTTAATTATTTTATTATTTATGCACCCTTCCCTGGGCAAGTCAGCTGTTATTTAGCATTTAGCATTCCCTGGGGGGCTGCCTGCCCCCAGAGATTTGCCCCCTCCTACGCCACTGGGGGAGTTTCATGAGGTAAATTTCCATTTTACTGATTATTCAAAAGCATTGAAGGCAGGACTTTCACCACATGTGAGTGGCTTGGCTGCTGATGAGGCTGCAGACCCCGGGGGCCGAAGGACTTAAGTGGATATATGCACTCAACCGAGGACAGTATTTCCCACAATTCTCTGCCGCCCCCAGCAGCTGCAATTGCGGAGCGATTTCGCAATTTCACCAAGGGTTATAAATTTAGTGTCGTACGAGGATTTATAATCGCTTCGGTTTTGCTTAATGCTCCCAATTCCGGCTTGTGGACATCTTAGCCTTGCATTACTCGGCCGCACTGCCAAGTTCATTAATGTTGATTTGAGATAATCCCGATTATTTATGGTCCTAATAGGGGAAAGCCTCTTAAACATTTGACTAAAGAAAGTATATTCTCAAGACATATTTAAGGAGAGATAGCAAACATCTAAGTTAAATTCAATCGTTTCATTTAATTCAAACTATCAATGCTGTTTCTGAGTTTTAATGTTCTGCTGGCTTTGTATTCTATTATTTTAGTTGACAAGTTGAAATTGATTTTTTTTTAAATATTACATTGTTCAATAAATATGTCTATATGTATTAACACATTCGAACTTAAAATTTTTAGTGTTTTTGGGGTATTTTCAAAATTTTAAATTTAAAACATTTTCCCCTGCCTTTCACCCCTGTAATCCGCTAAATTTGATGTTTCTGCATATTGTTCTTTAATTACATTTATTTATTTTTTGTTCCTCAATGTTGGTCTATTGTATTTGTATTTGTACTTGTTACTTTTTGTGTGTGTTGGTGTAACGACATGTAAACGAATGCGTGTGTTGTATATGTGTATCCGAATGTAAACGCATCCGTCCGCCGCATCCGGTCGGTAATCCAGGCACCGTGAACGTGAACGGCGTCAATGTCATTGGCCTGCATCCTGCGCAAAGGACGACGACGACGACCATGGCGAGTGCGGCTGATCCGACGCCCATGTCGGCAATGACCTACCAAGTGCCTATGCTCCAGCCACCGCCCGCCCACCACAGCCATGGCCACGCCCATGCCCATGCCCACGCCCACGCCCACGCCCATGGCCTTGGCCCCGCTTCGTCGGCGGCGGCGGCGATGACGTCACCGGCATCGCTCACTGGCTCAGCCGCTTCGGCAGCCGTTGCCACAGCCGCCGCAGCCGCCCCCGCCGGTCCCTCCTTCATCAGTTGTAAGTGTTGTCTTGTCTTGTGCCTATCTGTCTTTCAGTCTCTCTTCATCCCTCTCTACTTTCTCCTTTCACCACCCCTTTTCTCTACGCCCCCCTACCCCGTCTCTGTCTTGGCATGCTGCACGTGTACAAATGTTTATTAACCACTTACAGAAAAATTCCTTTTTATGCCTGGTAAAAGCACTGAGAGAAATAAGCACCGGTATATATATTTATTAAAAATATTTATATTCTAAGAAAATATTCAAAAAGGCCAAAAAAAGAGCTGAAGGTTGATAACATCTTAGTTCATATGTCGGAAATAAGATAAATTATATCTTATAAGTAAGTTAAGGAAGGTTTGTTTAGACTTGGATATTTTAGAATTATAAACAGGTGAGGTTAGTAAATTATCCCAAGACGTTTTGACTAACTGTCAGCTCAATGTTGAGTACGAAAAAGTTTTAATATCACTTCTATTCTAAAATAAAAACCACCTGAATTTAGTAAGGAAAACGAATTAATAGAATTCGGCCATATCCACTAAATCGATAGGTACCTATTATCATTTAAAAATTAAATGTGAACGAAATTTTTTTATTGGATTCCAAAAAAGTAAAATGGTATGTGTAGATTACTGACAATAAAATTAGAATGATTTGTTTATTTTACAATGAAAAACCTTTTTGCATTAAACACCTTTGTAAATTTTAAATAATTATAAATATGTCGATACTACCAATGTTTAATCAATATTTATAGAATATTTAAATTATGAATGTTAAATTCATATTACACCTTCTCGTTTAGACCTAAGTGTACATTTTCTTTAATGCCATGGTAAAATCTTTTTATGGGTTTCCGACAATTAGTCCTTCGAGTGGGGTAAACCCCACTGTCATTGCCCCGAGCTTGTTAGGATTTATCGCATGCTATAAATTTTCCCCGAATGCTATAACTTTGTCACTCAGTCAATAAAAGAGGTTGCAGCAAACACAAAGCGGCAAAGGGAAAACTTTTTATGTTTATTTGCATATTAAAAGCTTTTTGCAACTTCTTTTTTGTTTTCGGCATTTAACTTTAATTACAATTTTATTATGCTAGGCGAAAATCCTTTTTATGTCATATTTCAAAAAGGCCAAACCGGCGCAAACATTCTATATGCTGCTGCCCGCACTTAGCCACTCAAACATATATAGAAATAAAGTTCATTTATCGTCAAACAAATTGAAAAACTTTTTCCATTTGCCCGGCCGTCCAACAAAGCGCTGGAAAATAGCCCTGCTCAAAAAAAAAATACAAAAAGTGTAAAAATATGGAGGAGGAAAACCTGTCGAAAAAAAATATATAATGCGAGGAACCTGGTCAGGAAAATTTCTGCATGATGTGCATTTTAATTAAAGCCACAAAAGCTCAAGTGTGCAGGCTGAAATCTCTACTTTTCTTTTTTTTTCCTTTGTCCAGGAAAAGTGTGGTGGTACTCAAATGGGGAAACGGAAGGCAGTTTGCGGCTCTCAAGGCGATTAATTTCTTGAGCCAGTTGTGAGCCAGTGAAAAGCAGAGAAAAAGGAAAGAAATTCAGTCAAAAGTTCAGAGTTGCTTAGCTGAACTTACTCGGATGTTGTATAGTGAGAAAGTGTTATAAAGAAAAAGGACCATAAATGCTAATTCGAAAAGGCGAGGAAAGTTTTGAGCTGTAGTTATACAAGGAAAGTGTCAGGGGTTAAAAGTTTTATAAAAAACGATTTAATTGTAGGGCTTGTATAAAGTAACTACATGGAATATTAGTTTTATTTGAGAAAATAAAAGGTTTGGTTTTTTGACTTAGTTGTATTTCTTGGAAATCTTTCAATAACCGTAAATTTAGTTTTTATCCTAATGATCTTTAGTCTTATTTATGTTCCGATTCCTCCAGCCATCGTTTATAAATACTCTGAGAAATGTAATTACTAAATGTTTTCTTCTTGGCCGCATTGTTGTTATTTAAAGAACGGTTCACACGTAGCAAAAACTGTTTATAAGCTGCTTAGAAGACGCAGTTGGTCCCGTTTTCTCGCTAAAAAAGGAAACGAGAAAAGTGTTGCATACTTTGGCACGTTCTGAGCCGGGGCAAATGACATTTCTCTGTTCGCCGGAAATGCAGGAGCGGTGACATTTGGCACGGTTCCTGTTGGCCCCCCATCTTTTCCGCCTCTGAGCTGCTTTTGCATTAAGGCAAAGTGTGGCAACTGGAGGGCAGAAGCTTTTGCTACCACTTTTGGATGCAAATTGCGGAGCACACAAAAATAGCAACTAAATCACTAGCGGGCCAAGTGGAGGAGCTACTGGTTTATTTCTGCGATCTTGTAGTGGTCATTTACCAAACGCACACCCATACATACACAACAAGCAAAGGCCTGAACAATTTATGGCCACAGTGGGCCAAGAACGAATGCCAACGGCAGGCCGATGGTCAGGAATTTCAATTAAGGCAGATCCACCTAAGGGCATGTCTGTGAAAAAATCCCAACCCATTCTTCACCGTGTTTCACTTGCTGTTGATTTTTTGCCCTTCGCACCACCACGCGCTCTGAGAATTCTCGGAAATTAATTTTAATATTTAAGTTGTTGCACTAGCTCAAATACAAACTGTGAAAGTAAACCAATTTTCACGGTAAAAACTTCTCAACAACTGTCAATTATAGTTTAAAGTTTGTCGGAAAAGACGGTCCTTTGATGGATTGCCTTGTTAAGTAGAGGAACTACCATTGAAAAGATTTTTTTTGGTTAACATAATGTTGACATTGAGTAAATATGTTTACTGGGAGCAGTGACAACTGTGATGTATTATAAACTATAGATTGTAATATGTGTATGAATATTTATTTAATTTTTTTGTCGAATGATTGTCTGTATTTATATTATTTTTGTCTTTATGCATTTGCTTTCTAGTAAACCTTTCTAAGTGCTACATCTTTAATTTAGTCAGATACTTTATCCCATTTAAACTTTGAAAATTCAAATAGATTTTCCCCCACTTGCCATTATAGCAATTTAAAAGTTTCTCACGTCTGCTCTTCAAGTGCCTGTTGATAAAGATGTATATTTTATGCGAGTGTATTTAGCTATATAAATATTAAAAATGATTTCGCAACTTTTCACTTTTTTTCCGTATGTCTTGCCGCCAACTTTTTATCAGAATGCTATGTAGAAGACATTTTTAGCTGCGTGCCTTTTTTAAAGTTTTGTAAACCATTCAACCACTCCCGCTTTTCTTTTTTTCCCGCTTTCCGTGTTTGTTTTCTTTTTCGGTTGTTTTGGGGGAAACTTTTGCCTTGGCCCCGGCCACCGTTACATTGTTTGCTCCGACGCCACTAACGCATTTCCCCGGCTTTTCCGGGCCGCCTCCTCTGACTTTGCAGCGGACTACTTGAGCGTGCCGGCGGTGCAGAGCCTTCAGCCGCGGGCGGCGACGACTGGCCACGACTTCATGCTGCCGCTCCAGCCGAAACTTCTGGGCCCCCTGGGTGAGTTGATGATGGGCTTCCTCCTGCTGGTCCTCCTGGTCCTCCTGGTCCTTCTACTCCTTTTCCTCCTCCCCTGCCAGCCGGGGATTTTCCCCTTTAGTCCACGTTAGTTGAAAGTTTTGCGGACAGATAATTGTGTGGCGGGGGCGGGGGCGGCGGAAAAGGTGAGGCCACGCAGTTGAACCCACTTGTAACCACACACACAGTTTGAGAGCCATTGTACGGCCGGGACAATGGTTCTTGTCAGGTCGAGGGCAGGGTGTCACCGGAAAGTTTTCACACCCCTGCAGAGTACTGCACTCCGAGAATATTCCCCAACCCGTTGATTAATTTTAGGAATAACGAGTTTCGTTTGCTTTAATTTCAGGCTTGAATTTCTAGGAACTTTTACCATACAGTTTGCGAAAAAGAACTCAATATTTCTAGTTTTAAAGTCTGTGAGCCATTAGCAATAAGTAAATTTAATTTATTCTTGAAAACGAAAAATGAATTAATTCCTTTTTATTTTGTTTGACTCTTTGCTAAAAGCCCAAGGCCAATAATGCAGAGCATTCTGATAAAATTCTCAAACCTATTAATTCATATTAGAAGAGCAAATTTTCTGTTAGCAAATAATTTACGTTCATTTTATTAAGCCCAGAAACTCAGTCATTTTCGATTTAAAGTCTGTGAACCAAGAGCATAAATTAAATTATTAAATTAATTTTAGAAAATTGCTATTCATTTTTTTTTGGAAGAAGACTGCACTGGTATACATGTTCTTAAGTTGATAGAATAAAGGGCCAAAAACCAATTAAGTCCTAAATTATTAGAATGCACAAGCCGTACCCAAAAATAGTACCCATAAATACAGAGGATTTGCAGACCGACAAACACTACTTCAAACCAAATTCCATCAGCTTATATTTTAGTTCAATTAACTTTAGGACAGGGTTCTGAGTGCTTCTACTCCCGCATATTTCTCACTCACAAAACACCGGAGCGGGAAGTGCTGGAGGACGCGAAGTGCTGGCTCATTCACTTGAGGCCCTCACAGATGCCTGCACAATGTGGTGGCGATAAACCAATCGCCGACATGTCCTCGAATGCACTTCCGCTTCCGCGTTCGCATCCTTCAGATACTTTGCAAGCCGAAGTGTTTATTGTTGCCATCTCTTCTGCTTTCTCCACTCGACAGAACGCAAGGATCAGCATCCGCTGCAGCTGACCGCCCACAATTTGGCCTCCGATACGCACCAGCTGATGTACTCGGGCCACGCCCATCCCCACGCCCACAAGGGGGCGGCGCCTGGGGGCGGTGGGCCGGCTGTGCTGAGTGTACCGCCCACATTGAGTATGTCGCACACACAGATGCCACCCGGAATGGCCAGCATGGGTCAGCGAACCCCCAATCTGAGTTTCCGGGCGGCTCACGGAGTGGGTTCCTCCCAGGTGGCCACCATTCAGCAGCCCATCCCGCACGCCCACGCCTGCCACGCCTCCTCGAATTGCAACATCAAGATTTCGGTTGCCTCCGCCGGAGTCTCGGTGGGATGTCCGGATGAGTTTCGGGCTCCCAAGGTGACGCTGCTGGACGATCTCAGCGACGAGGTCAACTCCTCGACGGACGAGTGCGGGGACTGCTGCCTGGTGGAGGACAGCGATACCTACGAGGGAGCGACCATCAACAATGGCCAGAGTGGCCAGGAGAACGGAACGGATGCCATTGGAATGGATAATGGTCTTTTGGATAACGATGAGGAGGATGAGGATGACGAGGACGGTGAGGGCAGTGGTGTGGGCGGGGACGAAAGTCTCGGTGGGATCTACATAGGTCCACGGCATTGATTGCCAGACATAAACTGGGATTTTCCCCGCTAAAACGGACTTACCAACTTCTCAAAAGTACTGCCCAAAACTGCAACTCGGTGAAAGTTTAAAAAGAGGTTACAATCTATAAGAAACCAAGTGTATGTGTAATGTGAACAAGTCGTTAGGTGTTATGTGCCACTCTAAACGCGATGCTGAATGCAACTTTATCTGGTTAAGAAAGCGCACAAAGTCTTAGGAGTTGCAAAACCAAGGTCAATCATACTCAAACTTTTGCCCAGTTCTAAGGTGAATTTAAAATAGGAGAATGTCTTAATAACTTCTCAATGTTCAGCAAATGCTTTAAATATAAGTTTTAAATTTTACCAACTTTTAAAAATCTATAAAACATTTATGGTCTATCGGAGACTTAGCTAAGTGTTCCTAAACTTCCACTAAATAGATGCTCTAAAAACCGTTGTGTGCTCAATGGATAAACATAAACAGTGATTTTAATGTTTTCGAGATCATAAAGCTGCCTTGCCAGAGTGGTTATTTAATAGTTTCCGAAGAACTTACTAGATAGTGCTTAAAAAAAATAGTAAGTCCCTGGATCACTGCCTCTTCGTCTGTATACTTTCCAAATTCAAACTTAAAAGCATTGCGGTAGCGTTTCCATTAATTTTAAGACGGGACATTTAACGTTTCCCAACCATTTATCAGCAGTTTTAATCAATCTTTGCACTCCACTCACGGCCGGCGACAAACAGCATTTCTTGTCTGGCCAAGACAAACATCCGTAACATTTGTATCAGTGTCCTTATAACTCTCATGTTGACAACTGTCATTGGCAGCGTGCATGTGGGATTGTTTGCCTGTGTGGGTGGCCGAGCACGTCCTGGCCAAGTCCTGCAAACAAGGAGTGGTGGTCAAATAGGAAGCTGCCCGCATACAAGGCAAACATATCGTCCATATAAATGTGACCACTTGTGTGCAGCCAGCCAGCGATACGAGTATATGTATGTGTGTAAAGGACCTCCCCCACTTTCCGGCACGTCAAGGTGTTTATTGTGCAAATCTTCGGGACAAAAATTGCATGGCCAACTATAAATTCCCACACTTGACTCGCACGCTCCGTTTCCCGGATCACAGACCCTGAATCATGGCCAAAAGTGTCACAGGGCTGGCTTGTTTATCTGACACATTGACTGCCACCATTTCAATGAACTGGCTAGCAAAAACTGTGTCGACAAGGGGCACACAAAGGGCCAAGACAGCCAAAAACTAAAACGGCGACGACATTCGTGTCCTTGGAGTCCTTGATGTCCCCCCACCATACCCCACTTCCATTTCCACTTCCACAATTCCTTTTCGATGGCGGTTTGTGTGGTTGACCTTGTAAATAGTATCTCTTGGGGTCGCTGTGTTGGGTTTTCATTCTTCGACATTTATACCCATAAATGTTAATTGATTTATTCATAGAAGCTGGATGAAAGCGCAAAGCTAAACGCATGGAACTGTAAATATTTGAGTGACGGTCAAGGACTAACCGAAAGAAAATGAAACTGAACATGAAAACAAAAAGAAGACAGTAGAAAACATATTTGACTTTACATAAGGTTCAATGGTAATTTTTGGTCCAATATTTATAGTTTTTGATGTGCTAAAAACGATTAACAAAAAGACGAACAATTTTGATTCCAATTCTTGTGTAAGGAAGAGTTTAAAAAGTCGACCGCTTTTTAAACCAAAGCTCGTTGTAAGTGTATGTGGAAATTAGTTGGACGTATAGATTTAAATAGGTATCACGCCCAAGCAATGATGTGAGGGAAGTGATTCCAATTAGTCAGTATAATCAAATCAGTTGGTCTGAATGTGCGTCGTTCTAAATTTACTCTTTATTACTAATCTCTGATTAAAATGTTAAATAATTGCCTAATTGTTGTGTAAGGATATTCCTCGTTTCGGCTTGCCGACTGCACTCCTTTTTTCTCGTTCAAATATAGATTCCTTACTTTAAAATGTACAAGGAAAATGTTGCTTTTAAAACTCTTCAATTTAAAACAAAAACACACACAGTTTTCCTATATTACCAAGAAATTCAAAATTAGGAAAAATCTGAAAAGAATATAAATATTTATTGTTAATTCGTAAACAAACTTTTTAACTAAAGTTAAATTTAAATAATTTTACATAATCTTAAAAGAAAACGGAAATGAGTCTTTTGATATAAGAGATGCTGCAGCGAACCAGTGCTAATTGAAATAAACATTGTTTCAATAGGAATATAGTTAGTTTAAAAAACACAAGTGAGATACTAAACTAATATTAAACTTTTGCCTAGCAAATAACTAAGTTTAGTCTGGTCGATGCAGAAAAAATCCATTGCATACAGAAATCAATTCAAAAAATAAATCCTTTTGAAAGAAATCACCCACCACAGACAGGAAGCGAAAACCCGGCTGAACGTAAATTACGAGAATTTTGCAAGTATAATTCTGTGTGTACATAGGTAATCTCAAGAACAACTGAAAATTCATAAGTTAAATGTCGAGAGTGGAAAAACATTTCTACAATATTTATTGTAAGTAAAGTGTCATGAACAGGAGTACATAAAACCAAAACTGTTTACAAACAAAGCGAATTTTTAAATGTTGAAAAAAATGAGATCCGAAAAAGTAAATAATAAATAAAAAACAAAATGTGGTGTGCTAAAAAGAAATTAAATTTTAACGGAAATAAAAATTCTTTGAAAAAGCATTCAATATTTTAATGATTTCTACACAAACCCATCATCACAACCTCACGTTTTTCAGCCAAACCAAGACACGTACCGCATTTTATGCTAATCAAAACGGGACGAGAGGAAATTCAATTTCAGGGCCGCCCAAACAGAAGCCACGGGCAGGATTTTTAATTTAAAAGGGCCAACACGAGGCACTTCCACACCTACGCCCGTTCCAAATGCGAATACGACTCCCACTCACATTTCATTTGGCCAGGCCATAAACAGAGGATCAGCTTCGAGGCCGCCCTCATAAGGCCATTTAGAGGGAAATTTATGCTTGCCACCTCTGCAGTAAAATGGACCAAAAAACACGGCAAAAAAATACCATCGGGCCCTTGGAAATGGGAAACTGCAAGTGATGGCGTCTAATATAGACACTTAACCACTTACAACCAGGCCAACACACACACACCACCACATAGGCACTTCCCAGGACGATTTTGATACACGTGCACGCAGTTGGCACATCAAAGCGCAAATCCATTAAGCATTAAGCGGAGTCAGGTGCGGAACTATGCGGGCCGACCCACAGAAGCCGTGTTTATATAAGATATCTGGATACTCTGCTTTGTTTTTTGGAAAGAAAAGATAGATAGATAGGTGATAGATAGATAGATGATAGATAGACAGATGAATAGATAGATAGACAGATGAATAGATAGATAGATAGATAGATAGATAGATAGATAGATAGATAGATGGATAGATGGATAGATGGATAGATGGATAGATGGATAGATGGATAGATAGATAGATAGATAGATGGATAGATGGATAGGTATATAAATAGAGATAGAAATTTCTTGAAAAACCAGTTTTACTTTCATAGCTCCAAGCACCATCTACTAATTACAAAATTGAGTTACCAAGACATCGATTAAGAGTAAAGGATGTAAGTTTGTTTTACAAAGAGAGTTGTATAGATTTCTTTGAGCTAAGAATGTTGTAGCTATGAAAGTTTGACAGTATGTTAAACGTAACAAATTAAAAAGAAGCTTTTTATCAGGATTAATTTTAATCAGGTACTCATCATCCATAACAAAAATAAGTAAAATTTCCAAATGATATATCATATCGTTCTTTCAGAGCAGTAAGTTTTGTATATTGCGCGATATATTTCTTTGTTTTGGGTAAAATTGCTTTTCCCAGAAAGCCGCAGAACATTATTATAGTTTATTTCCTCCATCCAGAAAGGGTATCGTGGAAAATCCCCTGCCTGTCATTGAAGCGGGCAAAGGAAATCACAAAACCCGCTACGTGAGCCCGGCTGCAAAGGCGAGGAGCTTATCTGCGGCCCAGGATCCAGAATTCCAGGATCCCACGAGTGTGCTACAGAGGTACGGCAAGAAAAACAGACGGAGACAGGAGAGCCGCTCATAAGCGAGGTAAGATTAATGAGCACCACCTGCCTGCAGACAAATTAGATGGCATAATTCAGCGTGACCCGCACACAGAACATATTCCTCGCGCTTGTTCTTTGGCATGGGATAGGAGTTCTCTTACATGCATAGGTGTGGCGTAGATCCCCATCGTTAAGTGCTGGCAAATTTATGCAAAATAAATTATTTGCCAGCTTCAAACAGGCAGGGACAACGAAAGTAAGTGAAACCCGAGTTAAAGCGTGGGAATGGAACTACAGCCATCCAATTCACCTCTCCACGGGAATCCAGCATAAGCTGCTGATTTATGCCTGAGTTGATAAAATGTCGCATATCCGGTTCCGTCTTTTTCAGGCCCAGGAAAATGAAATACAATTTCTTCGCCTTTCCCTGTCTGCCTCGCCTACATTTCTGGGAAATGGCAGGGAAGTTTGGGAATGGGTTGATGCGATAAAAGCCAGAAGAAGTAATCAAAGTTAGCATATGGCGGCTATGGCTGCCTAGAAATGCATGGCAATCTCTAAATGTGTTCTCTGATTGTCTGCAACTCGTCTGACACGCCCATTTTTATTCATTTTCAGCTGCCTTTTTGTGTGTGTACTTGAGCGTGTTTTTTCCATCTGTGTGTGTTTGTTATGGCCACACTTCTAGAGGGTGTGGCTGACAGGGCGTATGAGTAATGCTCCTTTCGATGAATAATCGGGACATCTTATTCTGTTCTTTTTCGGGGGGTGGCTATGAGCTTTTCATCAACACAATGTTCGTATTACAACTGTAATAACTTGAATTAAATGGATTCAATTTGTTTTCACTTTGTAGGAAGAATTAAAAAGGCCTGTGAGAAATTTATTTTAAACTTTTAATAATTAAAGTGACAGGATATTTACAAGCTTATAAAAAATATTTGAATATAAGATTTCTTACTGGTTGTCGAAATCTTACATTTGCAGCTGTTCTCCATTGCTCTGAGGCCCTTAGAAATTGACAATCTGATGACCCACTTTTGGCTTCTTGAATGCCAACTGTGTGTGACTGTAAAAAAAACCAAGGAAAGAAACTTTCTTTTTCCTTTTGCATCCTTTCTGCCAAAAGAGTTATTGCTCTAGATTGCCAGATGAAAAATTATTTTTAAGAGGGAAACAAAACACATTTAATAGAAAAAATATATAGAAGCAGGTCAGTCACAGCTATCTCCATCCGGTTGACAACATCTGCGAGAAGACGACCGGCGGTTGGGCATTTTTCTGGCCAATTGGCACACCTTCAATGCCCGACGTCTATCCCGATTGTTCATATTGATATAGCAGCTCAGCATCCCCCAGGTGTCCTTCGTGGTGGTTCCCAACTCCCTGGCGAACTTCATTAGGTAGTACATGCCATCGGTGGCTTCAAGGACGTACCACAACACCGCCAAAGCCACCAAGCTGGTAATAAGTCCCGACAGCCAATATCCATAGGGCGAGGACTGGCAGCCGTTGTGCGTCAAATTCAGGAGCAGATCCGACAGGCTGTACAGGAACCTTTCCAGGCCGCACCAAATGATTATGGTGCCCACCTCGGCCAGGAAAATGCCAGCCACGATCTCGATGAGAATCCGCCAAAAGCGGGCCATGTGCATGAATCGACGGGGATAGATGGAGGTATCCCACAGAAAACACATTGTGGCCACCAGAAAGATCCAGCTGGCCAAGTCGGGAGCCTGCGAGCAGCGATCCTCCGGCTGGGCGAAGAAAAAGTAGCAGCCCATCATTTGGAAAAAGGCCGCCAGACCCACGGCCAGGTTTTCCATTTTATTAAAATACCCCTTTTTTGGTATTTTAGAAAACCTCCTGAAAAGTGTACTTGTCAAATTTGTAAGATTTTATTGAAAACTAGATGTTATTTGCAGATAACTACTCAATTCTTTAAACATTATATAAAGAATTCAATTTAAACCGTGAAATACAGAACAAAGTCTGAATAACATATTATACATTGCTGTGATTATTGAGTCCTACTTTCTTATAATAATTTATAACAATAATTACCACATATTATAGAACACTTCACTTTATATAGAACCCAATAAAAAACCCTCAACTAATTAAAGCAAAAACCTTTGAGCACACAAAGTGTTCAATCACCTTTAAGTGCAGTTTCACCCACTTGCTTCATCGTGATTGACAGTCCCGGGATAATTAGCATGCTCCAATCAACAGCAGGAGCCGAAGCGTCTGAGGACACCCCCTTCAAAGTGGAGCTCATTGCAATTAATTAGTGTTTGTCAACCCATACAAATCGGCACACACGCACGAGGGAAGAACCAAACACAATGTGTGACAGGCTTTGGGAGAAAATTAGTTTACCGACCCGCCCACTAATAGTATCGCATTAGCCGCTTATATAAAATCGGTCGACAGACAACAGCCCAGGCAGCCATCCAAAAAAGTGGCAGCAAATTAACATAACATTTACCGCAATTAATCAAAATTAAATTGGGCCATCGCCCAGGTCCTTAGATGGCCATGTCAATGAACCGCATGAACAGCCCAGCTACACAGTTCCCCCCAAAAGTCAGCCAACAACCTCTGTCGCCGTCTCCGACGTTTGTGGAGTGGGTCGGTGATGAGTGGGTGGCTGGGAGATGAATGGCTACCTGGTGGCCCACTGTGAACTTGAATCTATCAAAGCCATTGGCATCGGGTAAGTGAAAGTGCCTGGATCTGACAGGGAGAAAGACCTTTTTGCCACGGGCTGGGGCACAGTGTTTCAACCTAAGTGGAAAACTTTTCCAGGAAATGTTCTAGGGATCCCATGATTGGCAACAAACTGCAAATTTTTTTGACATTCTAAAACTAAATAACAACGTTGTAAAATTAACTCACCTATTAATAAACATTTATTCTAAAAAATATTCGAACTGTTTAAAAAATTTTACATTCAAAAATAGTATTCGCCCTGACCTTAAAAAATTTTAAGTCAATGTAAACTTTTAATTTAAATTAGAAAAATCATGTAATGCTAAAATAAATGTTCTTTTAATTAAGTATATTACCAAATAAAAAAAATTTTTTTTTAATTCAAAAAAATTTAATATACTTTTAAAAGTGGGGGACGAATACTTTTTTTTTATGTGTACAGTGTTTTTTATGGTATGGCTTGAATTAGGATACAGGAATTTCATGCATTGTTTAAAGTAAAAATCCTTTTTGGTTAAAAACTGCTAAACTGTTTTCCACCACTGTTCAAAAACATGCTTATACACATTAGGCCTACTGATGAAGAGGGTTCATTGCTGTCAGGAGTTGGGTCCTGTATTTTTGTTTGTGCGTGTTCGGGTTCATCTTGTCTATTTAAAAATTGATTTGTTGTTATTTACATGCGACATTATATATTTGGGATATCTTTTTAAGCGATTTTATGCCAGCACGCGATAATGGCGTGTCCTTCAGGCCTTGTTGCCGCTGTCGAAAATCCAATTTGTAAGTGTCACTGGCAGTTTTTGGCCAGGGAAAGCGAGAGAAAGAGCGAGACAGAGGTCCTTCGAAATTTTTTTTATTACTGATTTCTCCAGTGAAGCGGGAATCACAGTTGATTTCGGATGCAACAAGTTGGCGTGGGTCAGAATGGGGCATGACTGGAGGTGTCACAGCATGACTTTGGTTATTGTATTCGGGGATAGGACACAGAAGGATGTGTTCATTTGCAGGGATAGTGATGGAGATGGCAGTGGAGAAAGTCAGATAGGGGCCAGTAATTGAAAGCATTCGTGTAGAAAAATCAATCAAAATTGTGCGCTTGACATTTGAACGGGTTGGGTGAGGCGTCACTTTGGCGCTTGGGGAATTGGGTTTAAAAAAGTAAATATTTTAAATTTTATCCATGCGTGGGGTGATTTGCATAAATATTTATACAGGTCATTAACGCAAAGCATTTCTCGCTGATGATTAAGACAAATTAATAGTTACTTAATTTAAACTTCCGTTTATTGTGAAAGCACCGCCAAAAAATGCACTCAACGGAAATACTTATTTTTCAGTTAAATAATAAATCACTTCAGGAAGAGGTAATGACTGCGATGGCGGCGGCAATTAAGCGTAAACAACTGCAAAATGTCTGGGGAAAATAATTTGCACTTCCACTTAGCCCTCGGGTTGTGGCAGGAAGCCAGGAGCAGTTGGGATCAGACACGCGGCCAAGTCATGCACTTAAAATTTTATATAATTTCGCACGTGAAACTTTAATGAACTTTTCACACTCGCTCACACAACACGCACGCAAATTAAGATAGGGCAAACGAAAGGAATCGTGGGTCTGACATCGAGAACCCCTCTTATGTAGTACATATACATATGCTGCTAGGGTACCTATTATCCTTAAATCCCACTACGGTTTCCACAAAGTTTAACTAAAGCTTAAAGTTTTTGAATTGCAGATTTGTCACGTTCCAAATCTCCATAAAGTTTAAATAAACCTGACAATAAAAGAGATTTGTTTGTTTTGGTGTAGCTTTGTTTTTGTGGCCTCAGTAGTTTAGTTGATTTATTTTATTAATTTTCTAAAAACTGATTAAACAGATTCTCCTAATTTGTTTACCATAAAACAAGGTCTATGCTATCTTAAAATAAAATTCAAAATACAAATAAAACTATATTGTTTTACAGCAAATTAATAATTTTATCATATATATTGTACTTAATTCTAGCATTTATAAAGCTATTATTCTGTTATATTAAATTGTTTCTTAGTTTGTTATACACGTAATGAATTAAAAAGTCAAGTTTTTAGTTCAATCTATTTTTTAGTCACGGAGCCACCGTGTAAGCATTAAAAAGTGTTCAACATAAGGTGAATAGGAAGCTGGCGGAACCCCAAACTATTGGTTTTTGGGTGTGCCTTGGTAACCAAATGCACGGGGTAAAGTGTGTTAGGGGAAGTGGGTGCACCGGGGACCGGAAACATGTGGCAAGCAACTTCGGCTGAAGATGGTAGCAGCAACAACCAGCTTGACTTGTCAAATCGTGCGCGTAAAAGTTTTAGCCATGAAAAGTTTTCAGTTGCTACCTGGAAGGTTCAGTTTTTTTGCAGATTATATGCTCTTTCCCCTTCCCTGATACTGACTCTGAAATTAAAATGTGAATAGTTGAGGAAACAAAAGTCTCTGTAAAGAGTTCAAGTACTGAGTAATAAGGTCCTTCTTTTCCCAGAAAAATGAATACAGCACCCTGAAAAAGGTTGTTGTTCTTGATGATTTAAATATTTTGAAATGTAAAGTCTCTTCTTTTTTCAGTAAAACAATTAAAGATTTTCTGTATTTTTCTAAGAGAGCGAAGATTTTTCTAAAGCAATATTATATGCTGTACGGCTTTTGAAATGTTCCCCATTTATTTTTTTGTTATTGGTCTAGTCTAATATCCCCACATACCCTGCAAAAATGAGCTGTGCCAGCAACAAAGTTGTCTGTCATGGGCTGCATGTTGCACACGTGTCAGGCGGGAACAAGGAGCCCAGGCCCAGGAAACGGAGCTGCATCCGGGGGCTTTTTACGTGACGCTGGCGGAGCGACTTGTCAAAGGCAGTTCCATCAGTTCCGCTTCACCTTCACCTCCTCTACGAACCCTGCCCTTCCCTGGAGACAAATTGAATTCGCTGGAATTGTTGCAACTCTGTGGCATTCGAAATACAGGCAGACATATGGACGGCACTGCGGCAGATGGCGATTTGTTTGTGTGTCGTTTTGGTGCAGGCATCGCTTGATTTGCATTTCGCTCCGGACAGCTTTTCCCACTTTCACTCGCCCGGCTCCCTCAGCCGTTGAAAATCACGCTAATTGTCGCAGGGCCTGCACTTAGGGAAAAACAAACATATTTCCAGAAAAACCCTGATTTGTAAACCAGAAGAATATCGATATTGTTTTTAGTTTTTGCGCATATATTAATTGGATTTAAACTGGATTACTTTGTAATATGGCTAAAATTAAATCTGAATAGTTCCATACTAGTAAGATAGAGCACAAAATAATTAAAGTAATGTATTACTATATTTCTTGTAAACAACAAATATCAGATCGGTTTTTTAATCCTTAAAGTTCAACCTATGTTGCAAGATCTGAGTCTTAAAGAAAGTTGGAGTAAAACTTAATAACTTTCAATCTTTTAAATTTCACGGACCGAATTAAACATTTTATTTAAGAATTTTTTTGAGAAGATTTCAAAAAATCGTATATCTCTTATTTTAGAAAAATTGTTTCTTCGCGTGCACTTGGGCGCATTGCAGTTGTTCGTGCAAGGGGAGAACAATCTTTTAGATCGGTCTGCTCCGAATTTGCATTAATTGAAATGCAGAAAGTCAATGAGGCCTGAATGCAGAAGGAGTGCGCCAGCTGGGGTTTACCTAATTTGCAATATATTCTAAAATGGGACGCTTTAGCTTTAAGCAGTTTTAAGGCCAGCTGCCAAAAACCAGCCGCAGGATGCTTGCTTTGTGATGCAAATATGACAACTCTTTGCCAGCTGCCCCGCCACCGCCACCTCCCTACATCTGAGTCCTGCCAAAGATGAGGCTTTGGTCCTGTTTGGTGACAAGCCACAAACACAAACAAAAGTCAATGCTCGCAGCTATTAGGAGAACAACAACACTGCCAGAATCAACACGGCCCCTCGTCACTTTCTCCCCTTTCTCCTTCCCCCCGTCCCCCCAAGGGGAGTGCAGCAAGTCCTGCCAAATGAAGGATGAACACAATGACAGTGTCTGCTGTCCGCCGTCCGATGTCCTCTGTCCGCCAGATGTCCTCCCACCCACAAACGAAAAACACCTTGCATAATTTATAAGCATTTCCATTTGCTGCAAGCTCTGGATTAGAGAAGGAAAAGCGGAAA